ACAGTATCATTGACATCATTCAGCTAAAGAAATACTATTATTTATTGGAACATTTTTTTTTTAAAAAATAGATTTCTCTGGATAAATAAAAAAATTTAAACGTTCTCTCGATAAATACAAACGCAGTAGTTGTGTTTAATGGAATTTTAAATGTGTATTGTATTGATACATAATCTGATATATCCAATCAGGACTAATTCCCAGGAAGTAACGATTATCTGATAAAAAAAATGATCTACGCCTGAGAATCTTCAAACATCGACGATTTGTTTGCAGAAGAGATTATGTCTTAATTGAGCTGGGCTGAGGATATCAATCTACCATCAGGTCATGAACTTACAAATTGAACCTATGACAGACTAATAAAGTATTCCTCTCTGAAGAATGTATTGATATAGTATATAATTTGCATCTATAATCTTGCATTAACAAACAGTAACTGTTACGAGTTGAGGCTCTTACAAAACGTAACAAGAAAGAGTGATGACAGCAAGCTTTGTAAACTTTAACAAATAATTTATTTCCCTAGAAAGTAAAGTACAATGAGAAATAGAACTTAAGGTTTTACGAACCAAATCCAAAATTATTCCAAGAATTAAAAATAGAAGTCCTATTATTAAAAATCCTAAATTAATCTAAGTTAGTCTCAATGAAATCTTAAACAGACGGCAATGACGTCTGTTGTGATCATCGACGTATTGATGTGTCAACAATTTCGTGTTGAATCACAGAAAATATTATTCCAGTTTTGAATTCCGAATAAATTTTAGTAAATGTTTGCATTCAAGAATTTTGTAGGAGCACTTATATATTTCCAGGGAAAAGAATCACAAATTACATAAAATAAAATTTCAACTCAAAATGGTCACAACAAAACACCATTAGGTCTTAATGGTTTGGAGCCCGAATAAACAATCTCTAAAAAAACAACAGTTATACACAAGTTTAAGAAGCAAAACAGATTATCGGATGAGGGTCACATGGTCATCCTTACAGAACAAAATAAAAGCTTTTAAGATGCTTTACATAACGTACTACCAGTATGGCCTTAACTGAAATCAATGGATCTTACTCTGGGAAAGAATTTTTAAAAAAAGTTTGTTTTTTTTTTTAAAGAATACAGTTGTTTACCAAAACTGCCAGTTTCTGAATCAAGACAAAAACTATATGCAGTGTTTCTATTATCATAACAGTCATGTCAACAGAACTGAGCTGAATTTCTGAGAAATGTCAAATCCAGTAAACAGTTACCTTACAATAGTTTGTAATGGAATACAAAATTTGAAACTAACAAACATATAATTAAATTAAATATCATTTATATATAACATACCACTATCAGTGAAGCGCTATAAACACATACCTTCATTTCTTTATGGTGTCTTTAGGGTGCTTGTATGATCCTATCAGCTATAATACTCTCGTTTTAATCTTTTTATTAAAAAGTAAGTCTTTTGTTGTCCTGATTATATTAGTTATCTACACGGCAAACAAATGTCATTAATCGTTTCTGTGTTGAAACTGACATACTGGTCAGTTCCAAAAGACAAATGCATGTTTTTTTTTTCATTTCAAAATTTATCTGAACAAAATCCAATAAATGTTTTGTGCCCTATTATTCATTTTATAATTGATCTGGAAAATTCCAAGCTGATGTTTAAGGCTGGCTAAGAAACTAATGGTACATATCGTCCATGATCACAAATAGCTTGAATATGTTAATATAAAATTGCATCTGTTATTTTTTTTTTACATAAGAATAACGCAAAACGCATGTCAAGTATAAGAAAATTAGGGATTAGAATTTTCTAGGGACTAGGGATATTGAAAACGTTTAGTATATATTTTGTATGTGGCTTATATAAATGCCATGTATGTATGCCACTTCATAAAATATATTTAATACAAATCATGAGAATACAATCTATCTAATGCCCACACACGCTATTTTTGTGTTAAAAATACAACAATTTCCACTCTAACGCATGTGCAATGTTGGTATTAAGAATACAACAATTTCTACTCCTACGCTTATGCCATTTTGGTGTTAGAATACAACGATTTCTACTCCCACGCATATGCTATTTTGTGTTAAAAATACAACAATTTCCACTCTAACGCATGTGCAATGTTGGTATTAAGAATACAACAATTTCTACTCCTACGCTTATGCCATTTTGGTGTTAGAATACAACGATTTCTACTCCGACGCATATGCTATTTTTGTGTTAAAAATACAACAATTTCCACTCTAACGCATGTGCAATGTTGGTATTAAAAATACAACAATTTCTACTCCTACGCTTATGCCATTTTGGTGTTAGAATACAACGATTTCTACTCCCACGCATATGCTATTTTTGTGTTAAAAATCAGCATTTTCTACTCTGACGCGTGTGCAATGTTGGTGTTAAGAATAGAACAATTTCTACTCCTACGCTTATGCCATTTTGGTGTTAGAATACAACAATTTCTACTCCCACGCATATGCTATTTTTGTGTTAAAAATACAACAATTTCTACTCTAACGCATGTACAATGTTGGTGTTAAGAATACAACAATTTCTACTCTAACGCTTATGCCATTTTGGTATTAGAATACAATAATTTCTACTCCCACGCATATGCTATTTTGGTGTTAAGAATACAACTATTTCTACTGCCACGCAAAAGCTAATTTGGTGTTAAGTATACAACAATCTCTACTCCCACACACATGCTATTTTGGTGATATTTCATGACCCAAACCGTAATTAACTGTGCAACAAATGTTACTTGGTATGGTTTTGTTGTTGTTGTTGTTGTTGTTGTTGTTGTGGGGCTTAACGCCATATTTCAGCACACGATACATGGCAGCCAGTATTAATGGTGGAGGAAGAAACCGGGAAATCCGCGGAATGAACCACCGAACCACAGAAAGCTACTGGCAAGCTTTCTCACCTATCCGCATTCGCCGAATCCTAGACTCGAACCCACGGAGACAGAGGTAAGATAACAGTGATCCGTAACGGAGAGCACTTTAGACCACTCGGGTTCCTGGTAAGGTTTTGTAAATGGATCAACTAGCTCAGTTTATGGGCAAAGAAAATGGCATGTTTGTAATTTAGTAAAGAAAATTAAATTTCATATTAACCATAGCTAGGATTGGATTAACAATTCTATATCAATTATAACCAGTATTAGATTTATATTATCATGCCAACCATAAACATGAATGGATTTACATTTTTATATTAGTCATAACCATAATTGAATTAATAATATTATAGCAATCATAATCAAGGATTGGACTTTAAGTTTTATATCAATCATAACCACTACTGGATTTACATTTTTATATCAAACATGGCCAGATCTTGAATTTAGATTTATTTTTATTAACCATAGCAAGGACTATACTTACATTTTTATCAATCATAACCACGATAGAACAAACATTTTTTATTCAATTATAGCCAGATATGGATTTCCATTGTTTTTATCAACTATAGCAATCATTCGATTTTTGTATGTCTATATCATTCATAGCCATCATTCGATTTTATATGTCTATATCATCCATAGCCATCATTCGATTTTGAATGTCTGTGTCATCCATAGCCAGGATTGGATTTACATTTTTTTAAATCAATCATAGTCAGCACTAGGTCTACATTTTTATGTATTTTGCATTCTAATGACGCAATTTGTTATATACGAAGGCTGCGGTCTTCCTTACATTCCATATCCATCGGGAACCGTCGTGCTTACATTCCATTTGCAAACGCTACCGTCTTGCTTACATTCCAAAAAGGTCCAAAAGATGCCGTATTGCTTAGATTCCGTATCCAACCAAATCCGTCTTGCTTACATTTGATATTCAAGGACTGCCGTTTTGCTTACTTAGCATATTTCAGTGATGCTGTGTTGCTTGCATTCCATATTCAACGGAAACAGTCTTGCTTAGATCCATTATTCAAAGACTACCGTCTTGCTTAAACACTACCGTCTGGCTTATTACAGAACTAGTTGATAAAGTAATATGGGTTTTGTGGTCTGACAGATAGCGCAATATGAAGCTGTTGTAATTTTTTTACTACTGTGTAGTACCTTATTATTTCGTTAATTTCGTGATCAGTAGTCATTGCTACTTGATTTTAAATCTAGCGGCTGTGAAATTAATCGACATCTTTCCAATTGATTTAAAACCATCTGTTTATATTCGAATATTTACAGTTTGATGAAATTAGAGCATGATGTGAAAATGAACTTAACTCAGTCAATAAGATTGCACATTGGATTGATTCAATAATGAAATTTCTTAACACGTCTTTATTAGGTATATCACAAGGTAAGGCTACCTTCTTTAGTATGATGCATTTGGTAACATATAGTCATGGAAACATCGTTCATTAAGATGAAATTTGCATTTTTTGACAAAATAGAAAGTTAAAATCAATTTCTTCTGAGATAATTGCACCTAATAATGAATGAACAAAGAATTTTTATACATACATTGCCATACAGGGCATTACAAACAGCCTCCTCGTTTAGAGCCGTGTTTATGAGTTAGACGCAAATCAGATGTATCCTGGTTCCATTATATTTCAATATAATTATTCATAATGAAGTCAGATAACGTATTTGTCAATCACAGAAAAAAGCAGTCAAGGTTTAGGTCAATAAATAACACATATATGAACGTAATTGTTTTCTGTTCGTCATTGAATTATATTTATTGCATTGTCGGTCGAAAACAATTAGTCATCTTTGTGTAAAATTTACCGAAAACTCTAAGGACCAAGTAAAACTTGAAGAATGTGGGTTTTGAGGTGTTCTTTACTGACGCAGGATTTGTATTTCTCACTTTATGATAAGGTGTGATCAGGTTAGATACATGATGATACATGTGCACATGTAAACGTCTTAGTTGTGTAGCAGTTCAATTGTTAATGAAAAATATTTTCATTTGCCGCATTTTAAATTGTTTACTTTTTTCCTTTCATATAACACTTCTTAGAGAGCCGCAATAACTCAGTGGTTAATGCGTTAGACTCGTGACTTAACGGATGTAGGTTCAATTCCTACTATTGGATCGAGTACCATATTGTGTCAATTGACTACACTTGCCTCGATATAACCTTCACATCATTCCTCAATCATATAAGGTCTCTCTCTCTCTCTCTCTCTCTCTCTCTCTCTCTCTCTCTCTCTCTCTCTCTCTCACACACACACACACACACACACACACACACATGGAGACAGGTTTAAGCTTTAGACTAAATTTCGTTAGTTATCCGATTTATTTTAGTGTCAAATAGACACTTGCCCTAGAAAAGGTTTTATGGGTTTCAAAGTGAAATGGTTTCTGTTCACTGATTTAAGGTGGCAGGGGGCAGTTTCGCATGTTGGCCCCTGTAAATTTCTTAACTTAATGGTATAGTGTGACTTTTTGAGCTATCATTGTGTAATAAATAAAGATATATACATATATGTGCATTTGGTCACCCAGAATAGAGTTGTTTTGAAACTGATGGCATGTACACCTCATATAGTCAATGCACAGTGCTTAGCCAGTGAAATACCAATAGTTTTTAGCTAGTTACTAATAGCAGTAGACACGTTGGCTCGAGGCAAGTAGAATATCTCAAGAACTGATTAGATGACAACTATTTTGAATAGAATCAAACTATTAAGTACATAATGTTTTTTAAAATTAACAGCCAGTGAAAGGTCTCGTGTTTGCACTGTTAGCACCACGTGTTCTCAAAAATGGACTCTAGGCATAAAAAACGAAAGTATAAATATGGAGTGGGGTACATCAACATTTTGTTTAATCAATTTACATTGACTTGTCATATTAAGTGAATTATGTTCTTATGTGTTGCTTTATTATAACTATCTAAAAATATAGACCTTTTGATCACACTCGTGTATTTTTTTTTAATGAATTTTATATTAGGCAGGTGAATGCAACATTCAGTTTGTGCATAAAATCTGTCCCCTGCACCCAAATGTTTCCTGTAATTTTTAAAGATAGAAACATTGAATGGTAATGATATGACTCGGTTTTTCATGGTATTTTGGTTCAGTATCAGGTATCAACGCTTTAAAATTCTCGGGTTAACGTTTATAACTATGGCAAAGTTTGTGGTGAGTGGGATGATGACAATCTTGCATTGTTGTTACAACAAGGTCTTACGCCCAATATCGTATAGATTTCTTTAGTAGTACAACAAGGTCCTAAGCCCAATATCGTACAGATTTCTTTAGTAGTACAACAAGGTCCTAAGCCCAATATCGTACAGATTTCTTTAGTAGTACAACAAGGTCCTAAGCCCAATATCGTACAGATTTCTTTAGTAGTACAACAAAGTCTTACGCCCAATATCGTACAGATTTCTTTAGTAGTACAACAAGGTCCTAAGCCCAATATCGTACAGATTTCTTTAGTAGCACAACAAGGTCCTAAGCCCAATATCGTATAGATTTTTTTAGCAGTACAACAAGGTCTAAAGCCCAATATCGTATAGATTTCTTTAGTAGTACAACAAGGTCCTAAGCCCAATATCGTACAGATGTCTTTTGTAGTACAACAAAGTCCTGAAGCCCAATATCGTACAGATTTCTTTTGTAGTACAACAAGGTCATAAGCCCAATATCGTACAGATGTCATTAGTAGTACAACAAGGTCCTAAGCCCAATATCGTACAGATTTCATTAGTAGTACAACAAGGTCCTAAGCCCAATATCATATAGATTTCATTAGTAGTACAACAAGGTCCTACGCCCAATATCGTATAGATTGTTTTAGTAGTACAACAAGGTCTTAAGCCCAATATCGTATAGATTTTTTTAGTAGTACAACAAGGTCCTAAGCCCAATATCGTATAGATTTCTTTAGTAGTTCAACAAGGTCTTAAGACCAATATCGTATAGATTTCTTTTGTAGTACAACTAGGTCCTAAGCGCAATATCGAACAGATTTCGTTAGTAGTACAACAAGGTCTAAAGCCCAGTATCGTATAGATTTCTTTAGTAGTACCAGGTCATAAGCCCAATATCGTATAGATTTATTTAGTAGTACAACAAGGTCATAAGCCCAATATCGTATAGATTTCTTTTGTAGTACAACAAGGTCCTAAGAGCAATATCGTATAGATTTCATTAGTAGTACAACAAGGTCTTAAGCCCATTATCATACAGATTTCTTTAGTAGTACACCAAGGTCCTAAGCCCAATATCGTATAGATTTCTTTAGTAGTACAACAAGGTCCTAAGCGCAATATCGTACTGATTTCTTTAGTAGTACAACAAGGTCCTAAGCCCAATATCGTATAGATTTCTTTAGTAGTACAAGGTCATAAGCCCAATATCGTATAGATTTCTTTAGTAGTACAACAAGGTCCTAAGCGCAATATCTTATAGATTTCTTTAGTAGTACAACAAGGTCCTAAGCCCAATATCGTATAGATTTCTTTAGTAGTACAACAAGGTCTTTAGCCCAATATCTAATAGATTTCTTTAGTAGTACAACAAGGTCCTAAGCCCAATATCTAACAGATTTCTTTGGTAGTACAACAAGGTCTTAAGCCCAATATCGTACAGATTTCTTTAGTTTGTACAACAAGGTCCTAAGCGCAATATCGTACTGATTTCTTTAGTAGTACAACAAGGTCCTAAGCCCAATATCGTATAGATTTCTTTAGTAGTACAAGGTCATAAGCCCAATATCGTATAGATTTCTTTAGTAGTACAACAAGGTCCTAAGCCCAATATCTAACAGATTTCTTTGGTAGTACAACAAGGTCTTAAGCCCAATATCGTACAGATTTCTTTAGTTTGTACAACAAGGTCCTAAGCCCAATATCGTATAGATTTCTTTAGTAGTAAAGACAATTATATAACAATGAAATTCAAAAAAGACAACAGTGATCCAGTACCCATATTAGTCAGCCTAGGGTAAAAATAGCAATACAAAAAGTCCACAATCTAATTTTGTTCCAGTAAATATGACATTGTTAGAACTAATTGGTTAACTGCCAGCTCATAAATTTAGTATAAGGAGTGGAGAAAATCAGGATATATGTTTACACAAATTGTAGAAAATTCAATCTCTCTGCGTTCCAGAGATTAGCTCTGTATCTAGAGGTGTCAACATTTTTCTCTCCATGTTTTGCTCAGTAAACTAAGGCGCTGTAAAAGCATTCATTGCAGTGTGTCTATGCAAACATCTGGTGCATTGTGAAGGTTAAAAGGTGACCATTTTGTTTGAGCTACAATTTTGTCCATAAATTAGATTATGCATTAAAGTCACGACTTTCTAGTAAAACCCAAATCCCCAAATTAGACACAGATGATTTAATTTCGTCTCGTACTATCCGTTTACCTTCGTAACGGTTGACGGTGGCAACACGACAACAAAATCCACTAGAAATATTACTGTTATCACCATCAGTACTAATTACTATTGCTGCTGATGCTCAATATCTCGATGGACCATAAACACAACTCTCAGTGGATAGTTGCGAAATATGAGTATAGCAAATGTTTTGTTTGAATACGAACACTATTTTAATGCATAAAAAATAATGCAATTTTCAATACTAATTATTTTTTATGAAAGAAAAGAACGATCCCGTCTGAGGTAACTCAAAGATTCTACTTATGTCATTGACTGCTGTACAGTTTGTGGGATAGGGTCTCATAAGGTGCCATGCAAATGACCAGGTATTGGTGACTTCAGGGTTTTATAGACAGTACAATGCTAGCGAATACAAATTATTTGTTTCTGTATCTCTTGCGCCGTATAAACAAATCATCAAATTCTTTGGCATTCTAGTCAATAAATTTTGTCAATAATTTCAATTAATCCGACCGTAGCTACCCAGTTTTCATTTGTCATATCTAATAACTGTGCTAACCCCAAACTCTGCACAAACTAGAATTTTATGCTATTAAAACTCTGTTTCATATTCAGTTAATTTCAATAGTTTATTATCATACGCATTTACATGTGTATAGAGTACACGATACAAATATTACAAATAGTGAGTGATTATCGAATGCTCTATGTACACCTTTGAACACAAACTCCAAACGTCAATCGCCTATAGCTGGACAAAGAGAATGAACAATTCGTTAACATCTTTTTTTTTATAAATTACGCAGGAAATAATAATCTATCTTTTATTTTATACTCATAGTTAGCAAATTTGACTAGTGAACATATTGTTTTATTTCAAGCACTTAACAATTGAATGCACTTGTACATGGATAAATTATTTCACAAGTACTTTTGAATCAAGTTAAGACATGCTAAAAGAGAGCATTCAATATTTTTTCTCTTATATTTATGATACTGCTTCCATATCTCCCAGCTTCAGACCATGCCATAACGTAACTCGAGCACCTAAAGCCAGCCAAGCAATCAGCCTGCGGTGACTTGTGAACAATATATAGCTTCAGTTCATGATTTTATACCATGGATAAAAATGGAAAATTATATACAAGATCTGGTTAAAAATATCAAAATGTCAAAGCATATATGATAATATACAGCTTCTAAAATTAAGAAAGAAAAAAGCCAACAGAAAATCACAAATAAAACAGTTACATATTTGTCAGAGTATAGCAAAATAAAATTCTGGTAATAATAAGAGATAGGTTTATGGTAACTTTCAAGTTACAATGGAGAGATTATATACACCTTGAGCAAGACGCTTTTTTTTCTATTTCTTCTTTTTAATTTTGACATTTTAATTTATTTTTTTTAAATTAGGCGAAAAGTTAAACAGAATAAAATTTAAACAGAAGAAAGACAAATAATTGTGTGAATTTTAGTCTTGTTTCAAAACATTTCAAAACAATTTATGATTACTTAGAAGTCAAATCCGTTAGAGCCGTACTGGCGATTCGTCAGCTGTAAGGTACGAAGTTATCAGCTTGTTTATGATACCGCTCTTGCTATTAAACATTATTAAGATTATCAACATTAATAAAAGTAATATTATATATCCGTTAGAGATGAAATTAATTTACATTAGTAGTATTTTATATACAACAAAAATTATGTAATATCTTCAGCACTGGTTATAT